CACCTCCTGGTCAATCCCTGGCATTTCCCCAGGGGACCAGGCGAATACGTCGGCATTCTCTTTCGGGAAGTCGATGAGTTGGAGCTGATTTCCTTCGAGTTGCGCCGCACCGACTTTCACGGTCAGGTCGGGCCGATTTCTTTTCAACGGTACCTCGATGAGTGGTTCTGGAGGCTCAAGGTGTACCGGGGGTATAGCTCCTCCTCGGGGATCTTGATCTCAGAGGTGCGACTTCTTCGGGAGAGCGACCGCTGCAAGATAGCATCGCCTTGATTCTCCTAGGTCGCTTCACAATTCCCCGATTCCTTCCGCAGTTGGAAACTTGATGGCCCGATGGTAGGTAGAAACGATTGCTTTCAGCTTGTTGAGCATCGGGAGGCCGAGGATGACGTTATAGGCTGAGGACAGGTCGACCACCATAAAGGTAGTCAATGTTGTCTTGCCCCTTGGTTCTTCCTCGATGGTAACGGGTAGCGTGGTGGTGCCGAGCGGAAAGATGGAGTCCCCGGTGAACCCGGTGAGGGTCAAGCTCATTGGAGCGAGGTCCTCCCCGGTCAGCCCAAGCTTTTTGAAGATGTCGAAGTACAGCACATCGGTAGAGCTTCCAGTGTCAATCATTACCCTTTTTACCTGAGCGTTAGCGATCCGGATGGAGATCACCAAGGCGTCGTCGTGGTGGGAACGTTCAACCTCCTCGGCTCCGAAAGTGATTTCTGGCTCGAGCTCTGGTCGGGGACGTTTCTTGACCGTGCTCCGAGCATAGGCCTTCCTTGCCATTGAACTATTGCCGCCCGCCGCCAGTCCTCCCGAGATGACGTCGATTTGTTTTTCCACGGGACCTCTAGGACATGGGGTTACTTCCTTGGACTCCTTGAGATAGTGACCGAGGTGTCCCCTACGAATCAGGTCCTCAATTTGGTTTTGAAGGTCATGGCAGGCTTCGGTGTCGTGACCGTAGTCCCGATGGAACCTACAGTATTTTGATCGGTCCTTACGGGTGGCTTTCATGGGGTTGGGGTGCCGTAAAAGACCCTTTTCCCGGATTTGGAGGAAGATTTCGGTCCGAGACGTGTTTAGTGGGAGAGGTGGAGGCCTTGAGAGCGGCTCAAGTCGGGCGGGCCTCCGGCGGGGTTGCTCCGGAGTGGCAGAGGTAGCATCTCGGGGCCGCTCGACCCTCGGCTTCTTTCCGTCTGTGCGCCTTCCCGCCATTAGGGCTTCGGCGGCGACGTACTGGTTGGCGCGTTGGAACGTCTCGGGGATGGTTGTCGGCGGCTTCTCAATCAGTGACCAGAAGAACCTTAAGGGCTTCAATCCTCTTAGGAATGCCTGCATGATCAGGGAAGGGTGAGCGTCTGGGAATCCCCGGATTTCAACGGCAAAACGTGTCACAAATTGGGAGAGCGACTCGTCCTCACTCTGGGATAGCGCGAGCAGGGTGGCCACGGAAGGCTTGGGTCGCATGCTAGCGACGAAATTCTACTCGAACTCCCTGGCGAGCTGATCGAAAGATGAGACTGAGGACGGGGGTAGCCGGCTGAACCATGCACGCGCTGGTCCCCGGAAGGTGGTTGGAAGCGCCTGACACATTAATGCATCGGAAGTATCGTAGAGGGTCATTTGAGCCCGAAACGCGACGACATGTTCCGCGGGGTCGGAGACGCCATCATATGTCTCCAGCGCGGGCAACCTGAAGTTGAGGGGTACGAGCATTTCTTGTATTTCCTGAACAAAGGGGGATCTGCCCGAGCCATCTTCGCCCGACTCGCTCCGCAACTTTTGGAACTCGCGTTGGAACTTGTCCAGGCGTTGGTTGACCCGGGACAACTGGATCCTGAGCGAGTCATTCACCGAGTCTGGCGACAAGAGATCGGGCTTGGCGCAGGGTGGCATGACTTGGCAGGGTGCGGGTGTGTCCCGCTCAAGCGGGCCTCTCGGGCCTGTTGCACGGTCTCGGGCCTCTTCAGTCCCGGCTTGCTCCCTGCTCGATCTTTGTGTTACCGGATTGGTCGGGGGAGCTGCTAGACGTACAATTTGGGGTATGAGTGGGATGAGCGTCTGCATCATTCCTGCCATCGCCTGGACCTGCTTGGTCAGGCCGAGGAACACCTCGGGTGACACAGCTGAAGGCCCGTCGGCAGGTTCGAGGGGCGACAGTCCCGAGTCATTGAACATGCGCTAGTAGCGATCTGGCGTCGAGGCTGAAACCCCTCCGCCTCCTGGGGGAGGCTGATCCCTAGGTCGGGTCGGGAGGAAACCGGTCGGCAGCTCTCCTTTCGGGGAAACTCCTGCGGGGAACTCCTGCGACATGGCCCTCCTTCTAGCGCCAAACTGTTTGTGAACGGATGTGTCGTGGCTCGTTAGTCAGCACGGCCTGGTCCATGGGTCGATGTCGAGAGTGTCCCGTCGGCTGAACTGGACGCCGAAACGTCGATCGGCCCTCGGTGTTGGGTTCTTGGTCAGCGTTCCTTAGCCTGGAGGCTGAATAGTCGATGGCTCGCCTGCGAGGTCATCGGTCGGCGGCTTTCGAGGTTAGGGCGCTCGTGAATCGTGGGTGGCCGCTTTCCTACAGAAAAAGGCCTTCGCCGGGTGATCCCCGACCGTGGCCCCTCCGACGAGCGAGTTAGCTGAATGTTTTTCCCCTCCCGAGATCCCCCTTTGGTGGGTATCCACGAAGGGTTCTTATACTATGACATGAGGGTGGGTCGTACATGGTTCGAGGTGATGGGCGTGTCGGATAGTGTCTCAGCACGCATGAGCTCTGACCTTGCGTGCGAGGGTGGTGACGTCCTGGATTTATCGGAATGAGGCGTGTGGGATGTCATGATGTGTGACATTTTGGTATTGATTCTGACTTTGCGTATGAGATGTGGTGACGTGCCTTGGGTCCATAATTTATCATATCAACAACGAAGGTGATGATGGTGCATGACGATGGAGTCCATAATTTGTCATATGAACGACGAAGGTGATGATGGTGCATGACGATGGAAGCCTACTCGTTCTCTAATGTCACCTTTACCGAGTACACTTGTGATATTTCAAGAAGAAAAATAATACAATACTGCAGCAGTCATCTTGATTAAGACTTAGGATTAGAAGTCATGCAACATTAGAGGACAAGGTCACAGATGTGCCTCGTCACCTGTATGTCTGCAATCACAACACTAACAAGCTTCAAAATCTCACAACTCTTTGAAGGCTGTTTAAGTGGTCAAACTGTCCATCTTGTATAGTTCTCCAACAGCATTGATTCCACTCATTCCATGAATGTTCACCACGAAACATATCACAAGTCTATAGAGGAGATTGAGATAAAAAGATCACTGTAGAAAGAGTAGCTGCTGGTAAGCTGTCCATTTTACTGTCAATTGTGAGAGCCAATGTTGTAGCTCTCATGCCATTATAACGCGAGCGGTGCACGGGTGATGACCGTGCGTGCGTGAGGACGACGACGCCTTCTTTTTTCATCCGACTCGTCGAATTGCATTCCTTTGGTCAACCAGCGCAACCTTTGTCATGTTGAAGCATGGTTTGGTTCCTCATTACGAAGTTAGAGCCATATGAAATTAAATGATGAAGCCCTTGTGCGTTCTTGCCATTTGCATCAAGACTTGAACCTAATAAATTATTCAGTATTAGCTGTCTAACTGATATCATCATTGTTTTTGATGAATCGGGGACTCAACACGTTAAATTCAATCAACTCGAACATTATAATGCGCCATTTAGACAGACACGCCACATCATTCTACCATCTAAAAAAATATTTTATTTCTACTTCTTACCTCGAACTCATCCCAAACGGATTAAAGGATGTCTCAAAAGCTACAAGGATCATCTTCTTCACTTCCATATCACAGCATGACAAGTGTTCATCCTCCAAGAGAGACTTGGTGGCTGCAATCTTGAGCTATACGTTGGGATTCTCCTCACTTGTTTCCTACTCGACATGCTTCTCAGTAGAACACAAGTCTAGCAAATGACGGGGGAGTCGAATGAGCCATCATCCTCCATATAAACCTGGGATTGGCTTTCACCATCTTTTATGTGAGAAATTAGAAGCTTTGATTAGCTTATTTATTTGTCTGAAATGTTAATTTGGTTGGCCCCACCAGTGCCACACGTCGGGTGCAGCGATGTGTGAGCACTGTCTCGCTTTGACCGAAACATAATTGGTCCATTATAGCCAATGAAATGACACCAGAAAACGAACGTACCCAATTCCTCTCTCCCTCTCCTGTCTAAACGACAAAAGACGAAGGGACCCACAAATCCCCCAAAATCACGCTCTTCCCACCATCAGCCTCATCCGCATCATCATCGTCATCGTCATCGTCGTCGTCGTCGTCGTCGTCGTCGTCCCGTCCCACGCCCACGCATCCCCCGCCCCAACCCCCCACGACTCCATCAGCAGCCGTCCATCGGGGCGCCATTCATCACATCAGATGCCGTCCAATGCCTGACACATGTCGACGTGACTGTTCCATCAATCAGCAGCTAATTATTGGGAGAACCGAAAGGCGTGATCTCCCGTCCCACCCTCTGATGTCATCACCACCGATCTGGTCACTCGGTCCACTCAATCAGGGCCGTCCGTCCTACCGTACCGCCTCCAAATATTCGTCCCTCAAAGCAGTAGAAAAATATTATATAATTGTTTTATCTTGTCGCACCAAATCATTGAAACAAATTGAAGCAGCGGTTTGATGGCAGAAAACGTAAATTTCACCAAATATATGGGCTTTAGTGGATTCTGGGCTACGGTTTCGTCTCATTTTTATCCCCTGCCCTCCCTTATCCTCAACTGGCGGATAAGGACCGGGGCTGCGATCCGACGGTTCGTGTTTCCACATGGGGAACCGACGAGCTTCTATTGACCGTCGGATTGGATGACCGGGGTTAGAGTAACCATACCTGAATGTTAACTCTGGTTAGATAGGCTTAGAAGATACCACGAAAATGAGAGTAGAAGCGGAGCTCCTCTTCCCCTCCCTCCCCCCTCCTGCTTCCTTGGCTCTTGAGATCAAAGCTCATATTTTATGTGATAGTTTAGATCGATAACTGGGAGTTCTGGATGTGTTGTTCTCACTTGATTTGTTAGGTTTTGCTTTGATTTTTTTTTTTTCCTTTTCTTTCCATGTGGTTCGGGTGATTTTTGGCCAAATGTTCTCCTTGGTTCTGTCCGACGTGATCCGTGGAAGAAATATGGGTTTTTTCTTGGTTCATTGTTGTCAAAACCTCATCTTCCGTTGATTTGTCCAAGAGAAGAGGGTTTTTATTAGCACTTATGGTGTAGATCTAAGCCTGCTGCCATGTGAAACGAATAGAAAGGGGCGGTAGATGGAAGGTTGAAGCCTTTTCTTACCTTGTTCTTGCTATTTTCGTTAGCTACTGCTGGAGTTGATCTACAGATCTGATCGATTTCTTGCTTTTTCTGCTTACCCTAAGTTGGAAGGAAGGGGGAGTGACGAAAGATCGAATTAATCGTAGTCTATAACCATGACTTATTTCCCGGAGGAGGTGGTGGAGCACATCGTCGACTTCCTTGGCTCACACGGGGACCGCAACGCGGTGTCGACGGTGTGCAAGGCGTGGTATCAGGTGGATCGGCTTAGCCGCCGGAGCGTATTCGTCGGCAACTGCTATGCCATCCGGCCCGAGCGAGTGGTGACGAGGTTCCCTGAGATGAAGTCGCTGACTGTCAAGGGGAAGCCCCATTTCGCCGATTTCAACCTGGTCCCCTATGATTGGGGCGGCTTCGCGCAGCCGTGGATCGAGGCCGCCGCACGAGGCTGCCCGGGCCTCGAGGAGCTGCGGCTCAAAAGGATGGTGGTCACTGATGATGACCTTGAGCTCCTTGCACGTTCCTTCCCCAACTTCAAATCTCTTGTTCTCGTCAGCTGCGAGGGGTTTAGTACCGACGGGCTCGCTGCGATTGCCACTTATTGCAGGTGAGCTGTCCATCCATTTATTGAACGTTAGGCTACAAGGACTATCATGGTGTTGTACTCTCTGCTGAGGATGTTCTTTGGGATTTTGTGCGACGAGTTGTGATAAAGGTTGAATTTTTATTATGTTTCTTCATGTAGTTAGGTTCATAAGTTTGTTGGTGTAGTTGTTGTGTTGAATATGAATCAATTTTTTTTTTTCCTCAAGCAGTGACTCTTATTGTTCTGCTAAACATTCATCTTTGCTTCATGGGGACACTGATCTGGATCCTTTTTATTTTTTATTTTTGCCGATTGGGAATTCAAATTGTTTTGTTGTTTCTTTTTCCCATATGTTTCTTGAAACAAATTGGCCTCATTTTTATAAGGCTGATATGTATGAGTTATGGATGTTGGACTGCTTATTTGTCTGATATAGTAAACTTAAATTTTGTGATTATGAAGTAATTCTATTTTTTCCACTTGATTCAAATGCACGAGTATTGCTTATAACACTTGTTTCATCTGACTTTGTTTTTATGCTGCTTATTAGAGGTCTTAGGGAGTTGGATTTACAGGAAAATGAGGTGGAAGACCATGGGCGCCAATGGCTGAGTTGCTTCCCTGATTCCTGTACCTCTCTCGTGTCCCTGAACTTTGCCTGCCTCAAAGGAGAGGTCAATGCAAGCGCCCTGGAGAGGCTCGTCGCTAGGTGCCCAAACCTCAGGAGCTTGAAGCTTAATCATTCAATATCTGTGGAGTCACTGAACAAGATCCTTGCTCGTGCGCCTCATTTGGTTGATCTTGGAACTGGTTCGTTCGCAATCGACAACCGTAGCGAAACTTATCACAGGCTGATCAATTCCTTCTTTAAATGCAAGTCGTTGAGGAGCTTGTCAGGTTTTTGGGATGCTTCTCCTTTCTGCCTGCAGGCACTGTATCCCGTCTGTACTAACCTCACTGTTCTCAATTTGAGCTATGCTCCAGCAATTCAGAGTGCTGATCTTACCAAGCTGATTGGCCTTTGTTTTAAGCTTCAGAAGCTTTGGGTGAGATTTTGTTGATTCATTGCTGAGGTCATATCAGTGACATTCATTAACCATGGGCTGATTCTTCCACAGGTGTTGGATTGCATTGGGGACAAAGGATTAGCAGTTGTGGCATCCACTTGTAAAGAGTTGCAGGAGCTGAGGGTATTTCCATCTGATATCTATGGTGCTGGAATCACTGCTGTGACCGAAGAGGGTCTGGTTGCTATATCTTCAGGATGTCCAAAGCTTAACTCATTGCTGTACTTTTGCTACCAAATGACAAATTCTGCACTTACAACTGTTGCAAAGAATTGCCCGCATTTCACTCGATTCAGATTATGCATCCTCGAACCGGAGAAGCCAGACCCTGTCACTAATCAGCCACTTGATGAAGGTTTTGGGGCAATTGTCCGTTCGTGTAAAAATCTCAGGAGGTTGTCGGTATCTGGTCTTTTAACAGATCAGGTTTTCCTATATATTGGCATGTATGCCGAACGTCTGGAGATGCTGTCGATTGCATTTGCTGGAGATAGTGACAAGGGGATGGTATACGTGCTCAACGGATGCAAGAATCTCAGAAAACTTGAAATAAGGGATTGCCCATTCGGAGATGCTGCACTTCTGAAGGACGTGGCCAAGTATGAGACAATGCGATCCCTTTGGATGTCGTCCTGTGATGTTACCTTAGGAGGTTGCAAGGCTCTTGCAGCAAAAATGCCGAGGCTTAATGTGGAGATTATAAATGAAAACAATGGCACCTGTGAATCCAAGGAAAATCTTAGTGATCTCCACAAGGTGGAGAAGATGTACTTTTATCGGACCGTGGCTGGGCCAAGAAATGATGCACCAGATTTTGTTTGGACACTATAGGGTTGGCTGGAACAGCTTGTGTTGTGCAAGGTAATGTAATTAAGTTGGCTGATGTTTATTTGTTTTGACTTAGTTAAAAAGTCCCTATTATATTTAGACTGGTTTTGTAGACTGAAACCGAACTAGCATGGCCAAAGTGATTTCCTAGACATGTAGGTTTTGCTGTTCTGTACTACTTGTAGGTCGAAACGATGATTAGGCCATTGTCATTTGAGCTTCTTCATGGTTGCTTTCGCTATCGAGTTCTGGCGAAGACATTATTTTTAAAATGTTTATGAAACAAAAATTTCATAACAACAGACTTATGTTTTTCATTTCCTTGATATTGACCAGACTTTCTTTCAACTGATTACCCCTCCATGCTCAGTTGGTCCCAATGTAAAAACTGAGTTTGATTCTATGCAGCATATAAGGGGAAGCCACTTTGGAAATTCGTCATCTGCCCTACCATGGCATTTCACATGCGCAGCTTTAAATATTAATTACTTTAGTAAAGAGGGAGTGTGGGAATGGGGATAAGATTGGTTGATGAATCATTCATTCTGTGTAGAGCAAACCTCCCTGTGTTTGTTCTACTCTTATTAGACTGATCATTCCTCCCACTATCTTTCTTCATCTTTCCTGTGTCTGGTCATCACTCTCTCTGCCTTTTCTGCAGTGTGGTCCCAGAAGATGACCAGCTTTTCTGACTATGTCCATGTTCTTTTGGCCTTTCCTTTGTAGAAACTGCTGCATCTTTAACCCTGCACTGTGGTGGTGGAAATGTGATATTTGCTATGGGAACCATTACAGATAAAAGTTCCAACTATTTGGATGGACTCATGATAATGTCATTAAAATTATTTTTAGTTCTATTCCTCTATCTCTCCTTTTACTATTAATATTACTAATTATAGATTTCATATTATGTTAATTAATTCTCACTTGTTTTATCATTTTATCTTGTTAAAATCATACTTAATTCTTCATTGATGATTTTTCTTGTGTGGTAAAAGTAAATCACATCTGTTTCAAATGAGATTTCAAATGACAATCTGACAAGAGATGATAAGGTATTTGTTGGTATTATTTTTTATTGGTATCGGTTGAAACAAGTGATGGTATATATAGTCTAATAAACACCATATTGGTCTGATAGATTATCCAAACTGATATCAACCATGATTGAAAACCATGCAAAGGAGATTGTAAGATATGAGCAACTAAGGATTTGGAGAAGGGATATGATAGAGCACAGCCTTTAGCAGCAAAACTGTCTCTGGTAGCATCACTTCTCCATCTCCAGCAGACAGCAGCAGCAAACAGCAATGAGACAGAGTGAGGACAAACATATGGACCAGTAAACTGCTTGTAAAGAAGAAACCCACTCACACTAAGCTTTTGCTTGCACTATTCCAGGTGACAATTCAACATGCTATGGTAACCATGTAAAATGATCTATTGATTCCATCGTTCAACCAAATAGTTAAAGCTTACATGAATTGTGAGTCATCAATATCAGTATATATTCCATCTCATTTTCTAGGTAAAATTTCAACCAAGAGACCCATAAGTCAGATACTCAAAAGTTCTTCCCATGGTTATCTAGATTTCACAAGACGCTTCTAGATCATCCATGGAATGGATAAAAAATTTAGGAGATAAGTAGAACTCCATAAAAATAGTATGTCCTACTAAACAAATAGATTAGTGAAGTTGAAACCGTGTCAGGGGAGTTGGTGGAGGGTGTTCATCAGTGAAGTAAGAAAATAAAGACAGAAGAACCACCTACAAGCTCTGTGCTTGCTCCATAGAAATAAAATACCACTTTGAAAACATCAACTATTACTTTCCTTTGGAAGAAAGCAAAAGAATACATGTGAGAAAGAATTCCTAGGTGTCTCAAGGGTAGAGGGGATGAGTCTCTAGCACATTGTTAATGTGTTGTGCGCTGCTGAAAGGTTTTCTGTAAAATGATACTTGCCTAATGAATCTTCGTATGAAACAAATAAAAGGCTTGTTGTTATAATAGATGGAGAAAACTTGCACCGCTCGGCACATATTTAATATTGTTGGCTTATGATAGGAAGGAAGCTCGTGAGAAATGGCTCGAGTCGAGAAAAAGGACATGGATACACATCCATCAGTGGCTGTTTGGGTGTATGTATATCCGTGTAAATTATTATTGACACGCAGCAGCATCGTTCCGTTTTCATCTCATGTTTATACCGTCTTGAAAAAGAGTTCTTCCAATGGAGGTCTACAACACAAGTACTGTAGCATCATCTCAGTGAAGCTCTTCTTGATCATATCATGCAAACTTGTGATTGGTCAATGAAGGGCAATGCTATGACAATTCTGTCAAGATTTCAAGTGAGTCCAACAGCAAACAGGATGAACAGCTTCATTGATTCTTTCAGTACACGATAAAGATGATTAGAAGAAATAAAGATCACAATCAAAGATATGTGTTCTTCAATTGGATGGAGATCACAATCAAGAATGAATATATTTCTCCGTTGGCATTTGTTTCTCTTCTAGATATGTACAAAGACAAAAGTGTCCGACTAAAGGTTTCATATTGACAAAAATAAATTGAACCCAATTGCTTTTACCAGAACTTGTGGTTAAGACTCGACGACAACGACGCTTTATATAATCACAGATGTCACACAAAAGTGATGAACGGTGAGCCAACAAATGAATCCTTTGTTACTTGCACTTTATGGTTAAAGGAATCTAAAGAAAAATGGTAATCCTTCTTCAACTACTATCACTGATACTCTGATTTCAAAACCCATCTGGATCCACTGGCATCCTTCTCCAATGTTGCTATTTCCTTGAGAAGATTTTTGAAGAGAGGCAAATCTTTTGATTGTATCTTGTCCTTGAAATGTTGTGTTATGCTTGCAGAATCGGTGCTCCCACCTCTCTGCTGTATGAAAGTGCAGAGCTGCCGGATCAGGACCTCAGGCTGTGCTATCACGAGTTTACTGGGCGGCTTTGTTGAATGACTGCTTTCTGGCTTTCCATGTTGGTGATTGGACGTAGAAGCCAAATCCAGATCTTGCTCGAGGGCATCACTAACAGCCCTCTCTTGAGTTCCACGAATCCTAGCCAAGAGTTCAACTGATGATAGTGCTTTACCAGTTGAAGCTCCAGCTGAGAAACCAGGAGGCCTACTAGCAGATCCTTCACTGGGCTTCCCAGGACCCAGCAGCTGTGTATTTAAAGTAGATCCAAACCTATTACGGGTAGATGATGGAGCCCCAGCAGCGCCAGCTCTTCCAGTCCATGTGGGAACAGCAAAACTTTCACGACTTCGAAGCATTCGTGACTCCCGCAAGGCTTGAGCTGCCCTCTGTGCTACTTGGGAAGCTTGCTCCTCCATCTTCATCTTAAAATCCTCATTAGCATTCATAATGGCATCATGGTTCATTGCACTCTAAGAAGAAAAATCAAACCCAAAGTGATGATCACTGTTAGCCAAATCAAAATTGCAGAGAAGGTGAGCAAATTAGCACTTACATGAATACCATGGACATCGAAAAGACTTTTCAAAATATTTATTTCCTCATCTTTACCGCCATCAATTTGATTAGTGCTCTCCCTTATGCCACTTGGGCTAGATCCTTGTTTTCCTTGGTAACCATCGGTAACACCTACATGGATCTCTTCGGATAACTGACTGAAAATATTTGATGTCTCGGTCAAATCCCCTTGATCGTCTTGCAAGGTGAATAGATCCTTCATGTCTCTTGCTTTGAAGAATCGCCTTTGTTGAGGATTCTTCAAGATCTTGTTGGTGAGAAAATGCTTGTAGATTTGCCTGTGGTATACCTTCTCCTCTATGGTTCCACGTGTTATCAATCTGTAAACTGTTACATCCCGTTTCTGTCCAATCCGCCAAGCCCGTTCTCTTGCCTGTTATGCACGAAAACTAGACTCAGGATTCACTAAGCTACTTTGCTGTGAACGTTTTATAAATGTTAAATGGCAACAGTAAAGAAAAAATTTCAAAGTTCTATTCTAAACAATAAATCAAGAAACAGGCAAAATATACAATTGCTTAAATACCAAATGAAGCATCTCCCTTATAAAGTAGAAACACTCAGCATACAATAAGATGTTATGTGATTGACAGAAATCAAAATATTGATGTGAAAAACTACAATAAAATGAGATGAATTGTTAATTCATTGAAAATATTTTGTAAAAGTAACAAAAAAAGTTAAAAATTATTTTGAAATTTGAACAGTAGTTCACAATATTCTGACATTGCCTATTTTTTCTTCTCCTTTTTCTTTTCATTCACCTTATTTGTGACACATGACACTCAACACACCATGCTGAGTGCCAGCAGGGAATGACATTTCCGGTTCTAGCAGCCAGCCAGCATGGGGATTGCCCAAAAATATTTATGGCATTCATAAAACTAGCAACTAATGCTTTCACAATTATTGTACACAGAAGTACCATCTTGTTGGCCTTTGGAGAAGGAAAGGAAATGGCTAACAAGAAGCATACATTCTAGACTAACATGAAACACCAAAGACAGCATAGAAATCATCAAAGTAACTTTCTTGATTAGAGCAAATCTACAGAAAGTTGATGCTAGATCACTTTACCTGCATATCAGTTGAAGGATTCCAGTCAGGATCATATATAATGACCCTGTCAGCGCCTGTCAAATTTGTTCCCAAACCACCAACTTTAGTAGTTAAGATGAAGACGAAGACCTCCTCAGAGTTATTAAATTCATCTATAAGTGCCATCCGCTGCTTTACTGCAGTAAATCCATCCATTCTTCTATAGCTATAACCACTTGCAGTAAGAAAGCTCTCTATAATATCTAGCATTTGTTGAGTTTGTGCAAAAAGAAGAACACGATGTCCTTGCTCCTTCCAAACGTTAAGAATCCGCGAAACAACTTTCATCTTTCCACTTCGTTCAATATTCCCATAATCTGGATTCTGAGCAGCATGTTCTCTTTCCAATAGATCAGGATGATTGCAGATCTTCCGCATAACATCTATCCCATATAACGAGTTTTTTATTCCATCAAAAATTTGCTCCACCTCAGAGCTAGCAAGAAATGCCCGATACACAGATCGCTGGTCTGGGGTTAGGCTGCAGAAAAGGACATGTTCAGTTTTCTTGGGTAGCTGAGCATTCACATCAGCTTTCATACGCCTAAGAAGGTATGGCATGATCAAATCACGTAAGACAACTGCACATCTATAAGCTGTTGACACCTGCAGTGGTGTAGCATTAGCATATCCACCCACTGTAATTGGAACTGCAAACTCTGTCTCAAACACAGGCAAGACACCTAATTTCCCAGGGAATACAAAATCAAAAAGAGACCACAATTCTCCTAATTTGTTTTGAATTGGTGCACCAGTCATAATTATGCGATGCACAGTCTGTAGTTGTTTACAAACTAAAGTTATCTCAGCATTTGGATTTCTTATTCGATGACCCTCATCCAAAACTGCATATCCCCATTCTATATCAAGCAACTTCTCACCCATAAGGCGTAATTGCTCGTATGTAGTCAGAAGCAATCCTGATTCAGATTTCACAATCCGATCAATCATATAATCCCATTTTTCTGTTGATTTTACAGGGCAAGGTCTTTCACTATCACTACCTAATGAAGATTCACTATCATAATCACTTTCACTAGATTTGACCAATTTCTGTTTAGTTATAGCATGCGCAGAATCATGCAGTATCTCAACTTTAAAGTCAGGGTACCATTTCTTAACCTCCCGTTGCCATTGTCTCAGAAGGGTCACAGGACAAACAACAATACTGGTTTTATACATTTTACTAAAATGAAGAGCGCCAAGAAATGAGATGACCTGGATGGTCTTACCCAGACCCATCTCATCTCCAATGATGCCACCAGCTCTTTGGCAATGCAATTCCCACAGCCACTGAACTCCTACCTTTTGATAATCAAAAAGTTTTGAATAAATAGCACCAGGCATTTTCAAGCCTCCTTCAAAGACTACAGATGACTGGTCCTTGTTTTCTGCCTCATCTTGCAATTCTTCCTCACAATCAGAGGCACTCGAACCTCTCCTTGTGTCTTCCTCTGAAGCATTATGAGATAATGACAATCAAATCACATTATTACAACAATGAAATGTCCTGATCCTGTGTATTCATGTCTGCAGAATCAAAATGCTCGTGCATGCATGATATACTAATACCACAGTTGAATGATCATAACAAGCTAAATTTTTAGCAATAGAAATTGAATCATGTTTAGTGCAAGAGACTGCCAACTGAATACAGCAACCTATAACTACAATAATAAGGCATCTATTAACAAAAGCAGTTTATCAACAGAACATAGCAGCTAACGTACCCATGATATATTATCTCCCTGAAAAAATTAAATGACATGTAAACCTGAAGAGATAATGAGGTTGCATTCCAGCACACAAAACCAATGTTTATCAGAGAATCCACCACAACTGTTTTCATAATGCTTCATGCTAGATGTATGTTGAAATAATGAAAAAATAGCAAAACAGTACTAGATTTCTAGATTCTAGACCTCGATCTATATCTTGGTGAATCTTTCCAGGTTTCACTTGTCTCCAGAACTCTGTCCTTGTAATCTTATAAGCTACATAATACAATTGGCAATACAGTTGCAAACCACTTTGATCATCTACGCAATCAACAAAGAAGAGGCATTTAATGATAATATACAGAAACATCTTAGGCTATCATGAAAGAAAATGCAAATACAGCGTAGCACCTTAAGGCTTAAAATTAACTCAGCAATACTTTGGTTTTTTAACTAGCATTTGCCATATAATTTATGGTTTTTTAACTAGCATTAGCCATAGAATTTATGGTGTCTAAATTTGAAGCTATTACTGAGAATGCAGACATTGTGTGCAACAATAAATGATTGCATCACAGTGTATCAAACTTGTATCAGCATTCACTCACCCAGCCTTAATCGATTAATAACATAATTGCTTAATTCTGAGAATCTGACTGATTTGAACAAATTCATCATCATCGAGGAGGAGCTGCATGAAAAGGACAAAGGGACTGATTGCTAACTACTGTTGCCACTTGAAGAGAAAAAAAATGGAAAAGGAAGTGAGATGAGAGGCGAGGAACAAAGAACCACTTCCATTTTGATCTATAAGTCTGTGACGGGAGTCCTAAGCATGACTTCCACAAATCACCTTTTTTATGTTTCCTATATCTTGAAAATGAATCACTCTCCGGAAGTAATAACCTGTTTACCCAGAAAACCATCATTTTAGTTCTTTTCAAGTTTTTGTATGTTTAGCATGTTTATATCATTATATCTCTTATTTTTCATTTAGTTTTGTAAAATTAACTTTACATATAAATGAACTTGGATTCTTTTGCTCTTCCCCCCTAAGGCCCTAACCAGTACTCTAGCATGCATTTTTGTCAACATCACTGCATTTTACCTATGTGCAAGACATGTTTTTAACTCAAAGCAAGTGTATAGATTTAAGATTACTAAGCAACATGGAGTATGTTCACTTGCTCCTAAATTCAAGGGAAACTATAAAGTTACAGTTATACCTGAAAGTGCTAAACGGTAAGAAATATCATAGACCTAATTTGTTCATAAAAAAAAAACTATGTTTTCTTTTACCACACAACAAAGTCACACTTCTTCCGGCCAACAAAACCATACATGACTATTAAAATATTACATGATGATTCTTGAAACAAAAGAATTAAAAGAATTAAGAGTATCTGTAAATAATATAGGCCAGAAATCATACCACTTCCATCCAGTGACTCATTGGTTAAATCATCCTTTCTCCATCTTTTCTCAGGTCCAGGCCTTCTTGTCCTCTTTATATTTCTTTCATTCTTATCCAATTCTTTTTTTCTTGAGGATCTTGCGCGTTTTAGAGGACCTTGAAGTCTTTGAAACGGGCGAGTAGGTGGTTCCAGTGCAGGCAAAGCCTCTGCATCTAGCAATTTGGTTGTTGGTCGAGCCAATGCAATCTGGGAAATTGATTGAGCAGCTCTAGCAATGCTGGTTGATGCAAGATTTTCAGTTGAGTCTTCCTCAGGTACATCTTGCCTGATTGGAGGTCCACGTTCTTGGACACGACGTTCAAAGCCTTTAAGCTTATGAAATGGTGTTAAGATACCCCTTCGAACCAATTTATCTCTCTCCTACAACATAGATAGCTGATCAAGATTTTGCAATCATATTACATTATTCACTTAAAAGGGGGAGCCTAGTGAAGAAGGATTCCCTTAAAGTGAAGTTTGAGGTCCCTGCAAGCAGGAAGACTTTTCTAAGAACCCTGGTAACCAGGTTACAAGGAAAAACCTTAACATGATGCCAAGGTTCTCAATCAATGTCATATTATTCATTTGATGTAAGAAAATAATCTAATTGTAAGTGCAGAAATAAGAACGAAAAAGACCTTTCCAGTAACTGCAAAAACACAAAGATGTACTGAGTTAATATAAAAACAGATAAAAAAGGTATTACAGTTTCCATAAACCCAGCAGAGGCTGCATCAAGAACTGTATCAAAATCAGCATCTTCATCATAGGCAACAGCTTTCAGAGGTCGTTTTGAGTGTCCATTTGATTTTAGTTTCTGCTTATGCTTTGGTTTTTGTTTTGGTCTTTCTTTGACCAACTCATCAAGCAGCTCCACATTGTGTTTTTCATGCTCAATGTCATTAGCAAAAGCATAGTCACCAAACAGAGAAATTTCTTTTTGCAGCTGAGCCTTTGCTTTCTTAAGATCTCTTAGACGATCTGTTGCAAGTGCCTGTTCCAGACACAAATTGCTAGAAGGAGCATGAACATCATACCCAATATTCTCCACAGGTTTATCCCCTCTGACACTTGTGCTATCAGAATTGCCACTTCCATCAACTTCAATGCATTTAGCACTTCCAATGCTAGAAGCTACAGCATCAATTTCAACTTCCAATGCACGCAATTTATTGTAGAGTTTAACTCGGGTAGGCAATGGTCCAGTTTCATCAGGCTCATAGTCATGGGAGCTCTCCCCAGGCTCACTTGCATAATTGGTGTCATTCTTTGCCTGCATACAAAAATGGATCTTGTCAACTTGTCGTATACCTGCTATGCAACACGTAGCACTTTCCTTCTACTTTATAGTTAAATGCTTAGCATCCAGCAAAAGATAAAACTACTGACATCAAATATGCAGAGTCAGCTTGCTACAAAGCTGAATACTCAAGAACATTGAATTAAGCTAGATCTACCAATATTTAGGTCCCTCACTCAATGATGATTATGATCATTTCATGCCAAATCAAGGTTTAAAAGACCAAGGGACCAAATACAGGTTGGACCAATAACATACTGGCTGGTATTTACCAGTCCAAGAACTGGTATTGGACCAGACCATATAGGTTAGCACTGATTCATATTTAATCTTTTATCCTTTTTGGTCATGCTGGATAAGACAGGCTTGTATGTCTCCCAGTATGCCAACACTATACTGGTCCGATTGGTCACCAAAAATCAGCATCGAAGGATTAAAGTTTGCAACGAATGACATCCAAAAGTGTTATGAGCACTTACCATGGATGCAAAAAGACCATCTTTATCCAGTAATATATTTATAGACGAATTTTAAAAACATTATCATTACAAACTCTACTGAGCTTTATATGGGAAATGATTTTATTATTACCATGAAACCATTACAAAAAAATCAATTATGTCATGTGCCATTTTATTAATTTTGATGAATAGTGATGAAAATAAAGCCTGCAATTTCTATTACATCACAACAAAAAATAATTATATTAAAATAAGACAAGCTACAGTGGCTGTCATCTATTTGACAGACAAACATAGTTCAACGAATTTATGGATTAATTTGATTTTGAAGACCTTGTAGATAGACTTTGCCTATGTCAGCCCAAGGGTTTACGTCCAATTGAGATTCTATTTAATGTTCTTCTTTTTTCCCTTCTTTGTTTCCTATTCCTGAAGGCAGCCTGTGTCAACATGAGGATCAGGCAAATGTTTGACACCTGGCCTGCATTAGAGCTGCTCAGCCTGAGTCTTATAAACAACATTCCATTGCAAAATTCAAATTCTATAAAACAGTTCATCACGCAAATTGTTATAAATACAAGAGCATCAATATCGATAAATACAATGGAGTCATTCATCCTATATAAATTATAAAATGGATATATTAGTACTACAATTTCCCAATATGTCTTGTTTCTATTGAAAAGCACGTCTCAGATAATCTTCCTCTCAACAATGGATATTTCAATTTGTGAACAGATTTGGTTTGCACATTCGAATTAAATGGCGAAGCAATCGTACATAGAAAGTCGACAAAGGCCACCGGATCAGGTATGTTATTACCTGCGACAGAATTTTACGCTCGATATCTTCCGGATTCGCCGATGTGATGCCCAGGCTACTTAACAAAAGCTTATCTTCGTCTTCTTCTTCCATAATATCATACATGAACAGGAGATTTCCTTCTCATTAATAAGGGAAATAAACGGCTGACATCCGACGACGTATACAACCCTTGTTCAAAGCCACTACGGATCCAAAAACAATTATTCGTCGTCGATTTCAGTAGCCGCCGCCGATTTCGGGGACGGCCTCAGACGGAGAAAAGGATGCAGCAAGTGATTTGAATCGATTCCAAAACCCTAGTTGCAGAGTTCGTCCCCTTCCCTCTCGCGGTCGCCCTTCTCTTGCTCCCTCGGTCGCGTCGTCTACCAGGTCCTCGAAATTACGAAGAGGGCAACACGACTTTAAGACCGGGTTAAGTCGAACCGGGAAATGGATCGGTTTGAGAATCGAGACCGGACCGCCGTCGGGATCGGACGGACGGCTAGGCCTTATCCTGGGCATGGGGGATATGTGCGGCTCAGACGACGCCACGTAACCTGAATCCGGAAGAATCGATGGCAGGGAAACCCTCGACAATAACGGAACACACGAGCTACTAGGTGGCAATTCTACGTTGGTCCAGCGCATAGTCGCGACTTAAGCTACGACTTTAGTTGAGTTTTAAGATTACTTCACGATGGATTGGTATGGCCGATGGTGTGAGAATGAAACAAATAACATTACTGCTTTAGTTGACCTGAAATATGATGAAGATTGCTTATTGGGAACGTGTGCAGATTGACATGTGTAGAGTTAGAGAGGAGTTTGTTTGGCTGAACACTGCTTGCTGATAACAGCAGACGAAACATAGTTATGCTGACTGATGGAGTAATATATATATTTTTTCAATATGGAATTATAATTTTCTTCTGAATTGTTTTGTATTCAGTGGAAAACTTATGTCAGCTTTAATTTGCTGTTTATTGCCTTGATTCGATAAATAAGGAGTTGAAACTAAGAAATTGAAATCTGATTCTCTAAATTTTTTTTTAAAAAAATAATAATTAAAAATATCATTAAACCTAAAATCTCATGTAATAACACTAATCATTTTTATTTGAATGTTATTGAGACTGATTCGCTGATGTTGAGAAAGTTCTGAATATTGAGGTGTCAATTACTTGTAATGCAGTAATCGATCATAGTTATCAGCAAGCATTAATTTCTATTCGATGTGGGTATGACGCAGTCTGTCATTCCTGTGCAGGGTGGTCGCAGAAAAATAATGCATGAACATGGACAAAATTAAATAAATGATACAGCTAAGTTAAGATAAGAATGATGTACCTTTTCTTGTTTGATGTGATACGAAGTTCTATACAAGGGTAACTGGTCTAGCATGAGAGGATAAGAGCCACTTAGATTAGCCAAGGAGATTGCCTAGAAACAACACAAAGATTTTGATTCAACGAATGGAGATCTTGAAGAGATCATAGGCAAGTCATCCTTGGCTATCAAAGACAGGATCTTATCATCATGTGAGGCCACCCTTCTGCTTGCTTGTTGCTTCAGGAAATGGCATAGTTTCTGATAGAATTAGTCCTATTTATAGCGCAGGAAGGAGAAGAGATTGGATTAAATTTCAACACCAGATTGCCTAATCCACAACTCCTTTTCTCCATGCAGAATATATTCTCCTGGTTTGTCAGGGCAGTTGCTTTGTGGACGTTCATTTTACACATATTTATCATGGGCATCGGCAAGCAGTCATATACTTCCAGAAAGCAAAAAAAGAGAGATACATTTCATTAGGCTTGTAGTTTCTTCCTAATTGCACACCAAGTGATTCCACTGGTTTCATTTAATGCTAAATTTTACACTGTTTGAGCCCTCTCTTATCACATGCTTTGAGCTCTTCTTACACCGAATAAAAAGTGCCATGATCTTGCCTAAAGTGGAAACATATATTCCGAGTCCTTGAGCAATCTACTTATCTTCTGTCGACTGATAGGACCAGGTGGAAGGAATTCATAAACTTTAACATTAAGCATATCATTCCAATACTAATAAAGTCAATGCTATCCACTACTCAAAAAGATTTTTGTTCTCTTCAAATTGGTTGACCTTTAGGATTCAATAAGGTCAAGGTTTTTCGAGCGATGGCAATGCAAGCTTAGATATATGCGAAGCTTCTCAGATAAGAAACGCGTGATTTCTTGAACGGTAAAGAAAGAAGCGATGAGAATTAGAACCAGCTTCACTTATATCAAATTCATTGTGATAATCCTGAATTTGATATTAATTTTTATTTTTAATTTAATTTTAGATAATTAAAGGATAAAGTAAACAGTGGTGAGTTTAATCAATCACATGAGATGTCAACTCATAAGTCAGTCAGATTCTTTTCAATATGAATAACGGTACCGATTGCTAAAGTACTGAGTGCACTAACTTTTTTTGTTTAGAGCCAGCAGGCAGCAGTTTTGTTTACGCTTTTCTATTTGTTTGTTCTTCTTTGAAAGTCAAGATTTATTCCCTTGTGCTAATGCTTACTACAGAGGTAAAACTTATAGAACTTGGTAGGTAAAGGGTAAAGGGCAAAGGGAAAGCAAAGCACTGCACGTTAAGCATGCAAACGGGAAAGCCAACCTTCTCTTGAAACTTAACTCGTACTCAAACAAAACAAAGAAGGAATAAGCTTAGAGCTTGCGGCTTACTATTGAACTGATCTAGTTTTAGATCTATTTTTAATTTTTTTTAATTATGATAGGAGTTCTTTGATGTTGCAAATTAGGGATTATCATTTTTATTTTTATTTTTTTTATCAAAAATCATAATCCTAGTTGATTAAGGATTAAATAGCTATATATATAAATATATTGTCTTTGACTATTTTTTTCGATCAATGAAATATAACTCAAAACTTTTGACCAATTTGAATGTTGATCCTCTTGAAGTGATCAAAATGAGGTTGATCCCCTCAAAGTGATCAAATCCCTATATCTTTTCTTAGATAAAGCTTTAGGATTTTATCATTTAGTATCATAGTAATATTTTCTATCAAAGCAACGTTCTTAAAGTTCTTGCGGTGTTTCCTTAATCTCTTCTTCGGCATCGCCATAGGCCTCAACGGTTGCATCGCTAATGGGTTCCCAAAGTTCTTATGGTATTTCCTTAGCATTTCTTCAATCTTCTCCCTAATGCCGCCACAGGTGCTCGCATGACTAATGATGACTTCACCTTCAATATTTAGTAAGTAGTGCTTATGTTCTTGACTTGAAATTAAAAATAAAATTTAAAAATTATAAATCTATAATCACACGTAATGACTACTGATAATTCTATGAAATCTCAATTTGAAGCCTTGAAAGTAAATTAACAAGCTACAAGTAACTCTCAATGATTTTAAAAAGGGTTTGTTTGAGAGTTTGAGCAAAAATCAACAAGATAGAAGTTCGATTTCTATAGTAAATAACTAGATCGATCGAAAGTCAGAGGTTACCAAGAGCGTGATAGTGGCTATCCTCACATGAAAGTAGAATTTCCTAGATAGAAAGATGGAGATTCGATTGGTTAAATTTTAGAGCAAAGATTTTTTTTTCTTCATTTTCATAAAACTCCAAAATATTCTAAAGTGGAAATAGCTTCAATCTAACTAGATAGGGATGCTATTCAATGATATGATAGGTATAAAACTGATTATGAAGTTCTCACATGGGAAATGTTTAAGAAAGGACTTCTTGTTCATTTTGGACCATCAAAATATGAGAATTTGATAGGTAGCTTGTAAAGATTCACAGACTTCTACTATGTCAGAGTATTAAAGTCAATTTAAATGACTACCAAATTGGGCTAGAGATTAGTGTTAGGATCAAGAGTGGCACTAAGAGGGGGGGGTAAATTAGTACAGCAAAAAATTCTTCGATTTCGTAAAATATTTCGTACGTTAGATGAAAATCGATTTGGAAAGATAGCAACTTGAAACATATGAGAGCATAAGCATAGTGAAAGCAAGATGAGGAGAAGCAGTTTGCTAAGAAATGATTTGCAGTTAAAATAAATTGCTCAAAACGAAATGCAAAACAAAATTTAGAGTGGTTCGGTCAATGTGACCTACATCCACTTTCAGATTCGTCTTCCGTCGAGGTCACCGGCGTCCACTAAAGGTTTTTCTTCAATAGGTGAAGACCAACCACCTTTTACAGCTTTTTCTCCTTTTATCGGGTTTAGGAGAGAACCCTTACAAGCCTTACTCCTCTTTCTTGAATGATTACAAAGCTAAGAGAGGGAGGAGGAAAACTCTAGCACTTTTACACCCCAAAGATTATAATCACACTTCGATGTCCTTTCATATAGAAAAGGGTAGGGTATTTATAGGCCCCAATAGCTTTAAAAAATGGAGCAAAAAAGTGTCTCATCTAGGATTTCTGGGGTATTGGCGGTACCACCACCTGACACCTGACACTAGGCGGTACCACCGCTGGCAGCATTAATTGCCAACGGTACCACTGCCCAGTCTGGGCGGTACCACCACTCATAAATTCTAGGGGCACTACTTTCCAAGCAATGCCACCGCCGGCCCTAGCGGTGCCATCGTCAGTCAGAGTCCAACAACCTGGTTGGGCCGTGTATTCGACCCAAACCATCTTAGCTCCGAGCCTAGTTGGCCCCTAACAGAGTTGATGGGATTACCTCCCAAATCAACTCTTATTATCGTTATAACTACGATTAAGGCAAGCATGGTCCGGTACGCCGATTTTTCACTCGGCGATCCTTTGGCGAACTTCTTGGCGAGTCTTCCGGCGAGCTTCCGACAAACTCCCGACCAACTCTTGGCTAGTCTTCCGGCGTGCTTCCGGCGATCTCCCGACGAGCTCTCAGCGAGTCTTCTAGCATGCTTCCGGTGATCTCACTATGAACTCTCAGCAAGCTCCTAGTATATCGTCCGAGTCTTCAACTCTGGCCTATCATCTGCTTTACGCCTTACTGCTATTGTAGTTAATCCTACACACTTATCTCAACACATGGATTAGATCAAATAGTTTACCAATTGATTTCATCATCAAAATCCAAGATTCAACAATCTCCCCCTTTTTGATGATGACAACCAATTGGTGATGGAGTTAATCTTAACTTCCCTTATCTATATGCCATAATTGAGAAAAGACACTCTTAAATTCAACGCCTTTGAATTCAAGTATCAAATTGATAATTTAAACTTATTATCATCATGCACATCATGATTTACCAAATCTAAAGATGATAACACGTATTCGTCGATAGAAATGATGTCAAGGCATGACATCCATTTTCGAGTCAAAATCATAAAAAATTTTAGCATCAAAGTAAGCATGATATTGCATTATCATACTCATCATTTGAAGAGATAACATGAAAATCAAA